GCTGGGCCTTAACTTGCTGGCTTCAAAAATCCCCCTTAATTGGCTACTTCCTGCAGGTAAGCTTTGTCTTCTTGGCCTCTTGCAAGCCCTTTCATGTGCTTCTCTCTGGCCACCCCTGCCGGCCCATGACTTTGAGCGACCCACCCTGTTTCCTGATCTGCAAGCACATACACTTCCTTCAAAGAGCTTCTTTATCTTTCTTTTTTCTTCTCCCTTGAACTTTGTTCAAATATCTAGGTCACGGGGCCTTCGCACCTCTCAGCAACCCAGGGTGACTGCGTGGGTTATTATTGTACCCCAAAGTTTCCCTCCAGGCGTCGCACATCTATGCTCCCCTGGGCTTAGCAGAGACCAGGCTTTACTTCTCACCTTCCATGGACACCAGCATCTCCCACTGCCCCACCGGGAACCCGTTCTAATGAGCAGGACTCCCCCTGTGCTGATGTTGCTCATTAGTCCAGGATGAAGAGCAGGGCGTGAATGCTTTCTCCCCATTGTGTGCAGCGTATCAGAGGGGTCCCAGTGCTGCTGCTCGGGTGTCAAGCTTCGAGAAGCTCCCCCTTTGCTTCTCCCTATGACACGTGCATCCAGGTAGCTGGCCTAGGTTGAGGATGGATTTGAGCAACAATCACAATACCATCATCTTCCCGTTCTAAATCTCCACGCCTCTGTGACAATCAGGCTTTGCTGTTAGAATAGTGTCATGCCAGGCCACCTCTTCCCTTAGGGTGGGTTCTCTCCCTGGGGGCTCCCTGAATGATGGCAGGGGCACTGTCTAGGCTCAAGCACAGAACCCTACTTGTCAATCAAATTAAAGTCCACGGGGGCCGGCTCCGTGGCTGAGTGGTTAAGTTCGCGTGCTCTGATGTGGCAGCCCAGGGTTAGGATCCTGGGTGTGGACATGGCACCGCTCGTCAGGCCATGTTGAGGCAGCGTCCCACATCCCACACCTAGAAGGACCTGCAACTAAGATATGCAACTATGTACCAGGGGGGTTTGGGAAATAAAGCAGAAAAAAAAAAAAAAGATTGGCAACAGTTGTTAGCCCAGGTGCCAATCCTTAAAAAAAAAAAAAGGAAGATTGGCAACAGTTGTTAGCCTAGATGCCAATCTTTAAAAAAAAAAAAATTAAAGTCTGCGTTTACATGAAATAATTTTGTTTACTGAAAAATAAGTTGCAAATCAATCCAAACTGTGACTAAGGGGGAGGGGATGTCAGGGAATTTGACTTGGACAGAGAAACACTTTTGCCCAAGCCGGACCCCTGACATGTCCCCAAAGGCAGCAAAAAGTCAATCTTTTGATGCCTCCTCATTAGATTTCCATTGGGAGTTAACGTCTTTCCAACTGCTGAGGTTGACAATGGCCTCCAGCCCAAGCGGCAGGAAGACAGGGAAACCGTCAGCATCATTATTAATACCCTCTATGCAGTTTCAAGAGAAAAGGGCCAGGAATTGGGGGTGGGGAAGGAGGGGCCACAAACCAAAATGCCCACGTCCTTGGCAAGTGGCTGTCGTGGGTTGAGTTATGTCCCTGGTTTGAAACACACCCCTCTCTAGTGCAACCAATTGTCTTCCTGCCTGCAGGAGCCAGGGGGTGCGTTAATGGGAAATCGAGCTGATTAGCCCCAAATTGAAGCATTCCTTCTGGGACAAGAGCAAAAACTGCAATTCAGCCACACTTGGCTGGCTCCGGCCTGAGCACCACTGACTTCTCACTCGCTACCATTTTCTGCTACAGGACATTCCAGCTCCATCTGGTCGCTGAGCCATAAATACTATTCTCTAACCGCTGACCAGAAGTCCGGGGGAAGGCAGGGAGCTCCAGATGGCGAGCTCAGATGACGGGCAGACTGCATCCTTTTCAGGGCCCTGGGAGTCAGGGACATACGAAGGACCCGTGAATGAAAGGATGCAATAGCCCGGGATTGGACAGGATTGATGGGAAACCCTGGGTCACCTGAGCCAGCCTTTCTCCAAGTGCAGAGCCCACACATGGGTGGTTCAGTGAATAACACTGAGAGAAAGCCATTCCCTTTGGGTCTTAAACTTAAGAGTGAGGAAGTCGTTCCCTTTCCAGTCCCTTCCATCCTTCTGAAGAAGTCAAGGAGGAATGGGTCTCCAACACCCCACACCTGCTAATCTCCCCTCACTTCACCAGGAGCCATCAAGCCTCGGGAGGACCTCAGGTAGGCAACGGTCTCTAGCCAGAATTCAGGAACTCTCTTTCGTTTAAGATTTGCACCTGGAAACGGCACAGCATCCTTTCTGCCACGTGCTGTTGAAGTAAGTGAGTCCCAGGGCCAGCCAGATTCAACCGGAAAGGACATCCGAGGGCACAAATATTGAACGAGCTGGTTCACTGGGGACTTTTACTATCCAGACATCCACCATTTTCTCAAGTCTGAACCACTCACTTTACCAGGGTCAGGGATCTCCTTGCATTTTTAAAAAATATATTTCATTTATTTCATATATTCCTTTAAGCAACATGCATCAGCCTGGGCCTACTTTGTGCTGGGCCCAGACCTCACGAAGGCACAATCTAACAGAAGTTTGTCAGGACCTAGGCCCTCAGCGTACTCTGTCTGGTTCCCATTGGACCCAACCCTGCACCCGACACAGCGCGGTGTCTCTGTGCTCAGTCAGGGCTCAGTGGTGGAGGGAAGGGGGTTGGAAGAAGGAAGCAAGAGGGACAAGGCCTGCAAATGTGGTCTGGTGGCCTTCAGAGACTACTGAGGACACGGTTACAGTCATACCAGCAATGGCAATGACAGTAACAACAGCCATGGTTCTATCTTTCTCTCAACATGCCAGGCCCTATCCTTGGGGCATCATAGACTCTTTCTCCTTTAGTCCCGGGAGGTAAGTGTTAGGAAATCTGTTCTACAGAGGAAGAAATCAGCTCAGAGAGTTGAGGTGGCTTTCCCGAGGGCACAGGGCTGTTAAATTGAGGAGATAGACCTGGACTCAAGCCTGTCTTGACCCAAAGGCTGTATCTGTAAATAATATACAGATTTTATATACAGGGGGATTTCTCTGACCCTCAGGTGCCACCTGTCCACCCTGGGTTCCAGCTGGCCTGATTCAGTCCTCTCACTAGCCATCGCACTGGGGGTGAGAGGCAGAAACACTCATTAAAAGCCTCTTCTCTGGGGTCTCATAGCCTGCTCCCACCTCTGTCCCTTGCCGTGGTCATTGCCTCTCTCCCTGTGTGCAATCCCACCAGGACGTGAGCTCCAAAGGGCAGGATGACGTCTCCTGGACCCACAGCTCTATCCTCATCTCCCAGCACAGCCATGACAGGCATTTTGTAGACACATCTATGGAATGAGTGAGTGAATGAGCTTGCTCAGCTTTGCACCAGGTGCCCCGGGAATGAAAACTTAGTGTGACATCCCTAGCCTGCCTTCAAGGAAGCTAACTTTTAGCGCAAAGCCCTAGGGTAGTAGAAATACTAGGATCCGGGGCAGAAGATTGCATTGCGAATCCTGCCTCCAGCGTTCACAGCTCTGTGAGCTGCAGTAGGTCCATAAACACGCTTCAATCTCACGCCACCATTTGTAAAAGGGGAACAAGGCTCTTGGCCGGGCTCTTGTGGGATCCAACAAGACAACAGGCAGAAGCATTTAATGCAAGTTGGTGAATGAATGAATGCATGAGGGAATGAGTAAGTGAATGAATGAACATATACGGCATCCTGTGTGCCAGGCATTGGGCAGAGACCAAAGGGCTGCAGAGTCGAAAGCTGAGCCCTGGAGCCCTAGTCATATGGTCTAGGTCTGAATCCCAGTTGTGGCTCACTGGCTGCGTGATCCTCTCTAGGTCTCAGTTTCCCCCTCTGTAATGGAAACATGAGGGCACCGCCTGCCCAGCCCGCGGTGAGCATCAACTGTCATCAGGGATCCAGAGACCAGTAGGTCCTGCACAGGGCAGTGGGGACACGGCCCTCGGCCCTTGTTTTCCCGCCTACCGGGGTGCTGGCCTTCAGAGGCTGTGAGCGCCAGCTGTCTTGGCAGCTTCTAATTCTGGACAGCCTCCAAGTGTAACTCAGAGCCCGCAGAGAGAATCTGCAAATGAGGCCTCCCATAAATCAGCGTTGGCCACCGTAATCAGTCGCCTGGTGCCACTTTCAGTTCCAACAAAGCCAGGCCCTGTAGCCCGACCCATTAGTCCGTCCCCTCACCACAAGCAGCCACCCGGGAGCGGACTTGGCTCCAGGGCTAACGTTCTGAGACCCGGTCCCCGCCGTCTCCATAAATGAGTTGTGAAGAACTCCACCGCGCACGCTCCCTGTCCACTTCAACCATTTGACTCATCTCTCCGATTTAATAAAAACAGCGTCCTCCCGGGCTCCTGCCAAGGCCGGAGACAAGCAGGAGCCCTCCAAAGTTTAAACCAGGCCGGCTCTTAATTAGTCAGCAACATCAATACCACTCTTTCCCCGTGATTAGCATTTCAAAGTCAATTCTCCATCTCGGGCTGTCAGCAGGCAGGAGCCTGGCGGGAGGCAGCTATGTGCAGCAGAAAAAAACTCACACCATGACGCACCCAAGATTTCAGAATCTCAGCAACTTCGCTGAGGCCCCTTCCTCTCAGCTGCTGACTTTGTGCCAAGTTCCCTGACTGGCTCCTTCTTGTCTGTTCTGTCTGTGGAGCTGACTTCACACTCTGAGGCCGGGGTCAACAATAGGTAGGCGACACCACTAAGAGTTGTAAACTGATGCCTGGGGCTAATCCCCCCAGCAGATGTATTGTCTTCCTAAACAGGAAATTATACACAAAAATCTCCATGTCTGCCTTCTGAAAAATGCAAGATCTGGCCAATCCGAGTCTACCTTTTCTCCTGTGGCAGCACCAGTGTGAGCTGATCCTTTTAGACAGGTATGGAGATGCCAATTTGCCACAGTCCCCACCACTCCCAACTGTGTGGCACCTGGCTCTTTCATTTGTTATTAGCCTAGACCCTGTTAAAACTTGAGGTTTTATCCTTTGTTATAGGGGCTGGATCGGAGGAGGCAGAACTGGTTACAAGAACTGTGGGAGGAAGAGGCAGGAAATTTAACAATGGACCACAGACCATTCAAAGGTGAGACCAAAGGGGCTCCCCTCGAGGAGAGGAGGAGAATGCAGGTGGGGAGGGGAAGGCTTCATGGGGTGTGAAGGAAAAGCCTGGCAGAGGATGTGGGACACACTCAAGCTGTCCCCCTACCCCATCCCACCCCAGCCTCTGTCTCCCTCCAGCTCTAGGTACAAATCTCACAACAATCTCTGAAGAGGGGGGAGTGGAATGAGCACCCAGTTGAGTGACAGGATAAATGGTCCCTGCTCAGATCTGTCATTAACCCGATGGGTCACCATGGACAAGTTTCTCCATGCCTTGGTTTCCCCTTCTGTAAAATGAAGCAATTGCACTGGGTTATTGACCCAGATCTGAGCTTCCTTCCAGCTCCTTGTCACTTGTCCCAAGGAGAAGGCTGAGTAGCCAGAGAGTCTCTGAGCTCTGCGGAGGGACAGAGGGACCCTTCCCAGTGGATTTAGACACCTCCTCCACTCTGATAATCTCCATCGCCTGCCTCCATTTGTTGACATAAAGGAATATTTTATGAATCTTGGGTAAAAGGCTTTGCCCATTGTGCGGCTTCAAGTCAAGCCCCCAGCCCATGGTTCCAGACCAAATCAGAATCGCGAGGGTCAGTCTTTCTCTCTGGTCCCACTGCACTTAGAATGTGAGAACATTTATCTCATTGATCAATGACTGTTTATGAGTCACTTTCAGCTTCCTAAGAGTAAAGCTGGGCACTTAATCATCTTGGAATCCCTAGGAACTAGTAAAATGTCCAGTATACAGTAGGTACTCAAAACAAGTTGGATGAATTGAACTGAATTGAACTGAATTGAGTTGAATTCTTGCCAGGTAGGTGGAGACCGAGGTTATGGATTAGAGAGGCCACATAAAACGCTATAACCCCTTTCATATTGGATGTGTAACAGCCAGGATTTTTTTGAGTTGCAAGTGATAGAGACCCAACCCAAACTAGCTTCAATAAAAATTGGCATATACTGGCTCTTGAAACAGGAAATCCCAGAGTGGGTTTGGGATTCAGACATAGCTGGATCCAGGAGTTCACATTGGACTCTGTCAGGGAATTCTGCCTCTTTGTTTCTCTTTTCTGTTTGCCTCTCAGGATGTGATGGGAAACACAGCCATTGGCAGCCCTGGACTCATATTGTCTCGTTGAGCCATCTCAGCAGGAAAACCATCTTTTCCAAGAGCTCCAGCAGAAAAATCCTACAAAGGGCTCTGGCCAGGTTGGTTCGTGAGCCCACCATCAAACCAATCACTGTGGCCGGAAAGAGGAGCTATTCTGATGAACTACATGTGGCTACATGTTCATAGTTGTGGCTGGCCAGAGTGGGGTCAGCCCACCCAAGCCATGTGAAATGGGCTTCCCCAGGAAAGAGGAGATGGGACTCCAGGAGAAGAGGGCTGAGAAGTTCCCAGCAGGAACCCATGTCAAAATTCCACCTTTCAGACCTTTCCCAGACAGATGAGGATGAGCCCCCTGCACATCCCTTTCCAGCAGCTGCTTGAAATATCAACTCCACCTGTCCTAGAGCTTGATGAGTCGATCTGTCTTCGGCCACTTCCCTCCATCTAGGAATGTCAATACCGTGTTAAATTGACTCTGAATAGAGACAAGATTATGGAGTCCCTCCGTCTCGAAGCAGGTGCCAAAAGAAAATGATTTATTTTCACTCATCTAGGCCCAAACCAGAAAATTACTTCCACTCTAACTCTTCAGAGGAGGGAGCAGCTGCCTGGGGCACAGCTCTTTCTGCCTCTCTGGAAGCCAAAGACCACGGTGGGGTAACCGACTTTGGATTTTTCCAGAATTCTTTCCCTAGTTCACAATCATCCATCCCAAGGGGCTTCATAGTCACAGAGGATTCCTGACACTCCCACACAGCTATGGGCCTGCCAGTTGGCACACGTTTTCTGAAAAGTACTTTGTCCAAAAATAACAAAGCTTTTAAAATGTTAAGTGTGATGGAGGAAAAACAGCTTCATATTTGATTGTCTACATCTTTGATTGTCTCCACCTGCTAAAGATAACTCCGTGGTGGCCTGTTCAGCCTTCCTTTTTCTCTCTCCAATAGGAAGAATTCTGTCTTAACTGGGGGTGGGGGGGGTGGGGGGGTGGGGAGGGGTTCCTGAGATTTTTATGATGAAAAATTTGGTATAAAAAGAGTTGGGTAAGTGAGGATGGGTTTTTTTTTCCATCTTGTAAGAGACAAAGGATACAGGTGGAAGGAAATGAGGAAGGGGAGAAAAGGCAAGATCCTCAGATGGTTGGGTGTCAGTGGAAAGGGAGCAGTTCAGGGGTAAATATTAGGGAAACCCCAGGGATGTGAGAAAACAGGAATGGGGAAGGGGGCTCAGTGAAGAGTTGGTTAAGGATTACGAAGTTGAGTCCCCTTTGATGTTCTTTGAGAGGCGCCAATAAACATTTGTATTTCTTTTGAGATTATATGTAGATAAATAGAGAGATCAGATAGACAGTAGGATTATGCACAGAATTCCCCTGTGTCTCTATTTACTTAACCAACTCCCTGTTGGTGAAATTTAAGTTCCTTTCCATTTATTGACATTATAAACAACACTGTGATGAACATCCTCATAATGAAATCTCTACATATCCAAGATAATTTCCTTAGGGTTAATCATTGGGTCCACAGTTTGCATATATAACCCACATAAAAGCCAAGGCTGAAGGGACCCAGCCCTAATATTTCCTAAGAATGTGACTTTATGAAATCATTTAACTGCTCTGAGCCTCAGTTTCCTTATCTGTAAAATAGGGCTGTCAAGTCCTATTTCACATGGTCGTCCCGAGGATCAAATAAGATAACATGTTAAATTGTTTTGGTAATCTGGAGCAAGATCTATAGACCCAAGCACCTGTTCGCCCATCCTTCTTGTGCTCTTTGGGTTTTTTAACTATATTCATGAGTTGTTTTGATGAAAATAAAAATTAAATTTATATTTGAAAGTCTGAATCATGTGCTTGTGTTATCCATTAAAAATTAATTTTAAAAATAAAGCCATTTCTCAATCTCCAGCAAATTATCCTGTTTTATTCTCATCAAAGTCCTTATCACTACCAGGTTTTTAAAATTATTTCCTTGATTATTGAGTATCTTCACTCTAGAACATCAGGTCTTTGATAGTAGGGACCTGTTTAGTCATATTCTTTGCCATATCCCCAGTGCCTAGCACACACTGAGCATATGACAGATGGTCCATAAATATTTGGTGAATGTTGTACAGAGAGAGAGAGATGGATGGATGGATGGATAGATGGGTGGATGGGTGGATTGATGGATGGGTGGATGGGTGGGTGGATGGGTGGATGGATGGATGGATGGATGGGTGGATGAATGGATGGATGGATGGATGGGTAGATGGAGAGAGGGAGGGACTACGCCCTGACCTTCTTGATATTTCCCTTCCTCTTCTCTCTCATTGTCTCTCATATTTTATCCTCCTCTCCCACCCTCTCTGTGTCTGCAGGTTGAGTGGCAGAAGAGTTCAGACCAGAGAACTGTTCTTTGCACCTGCCCTCACTCACTCTTCTGGGTTTGGGGTCTGGCCTCTCTCTGGGATCATGGACCACTCTACCTTGACCCCCTCATTCTGCGTGTCCTCTCAGTGCTACCCAGGAGGCCTGCTGTACCAGCCTCTGCCTTGTGCAGCGGAGTCCCTAAGGGTCAGGCCAGTGCCTCACCCACTAAGAAGCTTGTTCATCATGGGGACCTCTAGATTCAGAGATGAGGGAGGATGGAGGGGGTAGTGAAATGGAGGATGCTTTTGAGACCTCAGCATTGCCTGGGCTGCTACTGGAGATGACATTCCCTTCCCTCCTTCCAGATGCCAAGCACTCTTCTGAGAATATTTGCTTTGGCATCTGCGGGAAGCTGCCAGCGTGTGAGCAGTTCAGAAGGCTGCCAGAGGGCAGGGTGAACAGGCAGCTGCTTTCTAAGTGAGCCCAGCTCCTCCCCGCCAGCCCAGAGCCTCCCGAGGGAGGGGCTTCTCTTGCTCTCTCTCCAGGTCTCTCTCCACTCTGTTCTGCCTCTCTCATCTCTCTGATGTATCTCCCTCAGCTGTTCCCTCTTATCTTTCCGTCTCTCTCTCATCACACATTCTCTTCAGCCAGGTGCTATGATGTGGCTTAACAATCTCAGAGGCCTCCAGGTCAGGGTGCCCTCCTCCTCCAGCATCTTAGGGAGGCCGCATGGCTGAAGGGTCCAGTGTCAGTCCACTGTGTCCTTGGAGAATCATGAATGGATTGAGGGGTCTGCGAACCCCACCCCCAAAGTGTAGGCACAGTTTTCCTGGGAAAGGTCCATTACACCCATCAAATTATCAAAGGAGGCTGTGTAAGAATCCTGGAGTCAGTGCTTACCAAATCTGTGACGAATTAATGAACGACTCGGGATAAGCGGCCCCGCCCCCAACCAAGCTCTTTCCTCTTCCAGAAAATGAGCAGTAGTGACTTTCAAACTCTGCCCTTCAGAGCCCCAAGGTCTTGGGGTTGCGCTCAGATGAGAAGGTGGTTCTGGGGTTCAAGGGTCCAGATCCCCACCTCCACTTGTACCTCAGGTGCTCTGTGTCCATCTGAACCACACCCACTGGGCTGCCAGGACAGGATTCAGGGCCACACCTGATTCAGAAGCTTTAAAAAAATGCTGAAGTATTTAGTACTGATGTCTGCAATTTACTGTCAAATATATCATAGAGGGAGAGAAGCAATAACGCAAGTTCAGTAAAATGCTGATGGTAGATTTTAGGTGGTGGGTTCACTCTCGATTATTCACTGATTTCTCTTCTCCTCTCCTGAGACTCTTGAGTAGAAGAGAAATAAAAATAAGGAGAGAGTGAACACGTCTGGCTTGATGCACTTCGCAGGATCCAGGGTGGCTGGAATGAAAACAAACAAGGTAACTGAGGCTGCCACCAAAAAGCCAGTGTCTTCACCGCCGAGAGCTTTCAGGGTCAAGAGACAATATCCAAGGAGTCATCCACCCCCTGGGACATCAGCCCACATCCGGCCCAGGACAGATGATTCTGTGGGTCTGGAGGATTCTCCTGTGCTCTCTTGCACCTGGAGGGGAACGCTGCTTTTCATGAATGGTCCCATGCTGCTTGGCCCCCATGCCATTTCCACTGACAACACCTGCATAATAATGACACTGATGATAGCAGCTAATTGTTACAACAGTAAGCGTTGCATACACTGGGTAAGAGCAGTACTAAACTCTAGAGCCACTCAACTATTTCATCCTCAGAACAGTGCCTCAGCCAGATCCTATTATTCTACCAAATTCACACCGTTTCCTCGCTGTGTGATCTGGGCTATTTAGTTAGCACCTCTGAGCCTCAGTTTCCCCATCAGTAAAATGGGAATAATGAAGACACCTGCCTATGGGGCTATTGGTTTGTTTTTTTTTTTTTTAATGCATGCAAAGGGCTTGGCTCAAAGCCTAGTTCAGAGAGGCGGAAACTGACTCCTCAGAGAGGTTAAGTGATTCGTCCAGGACACACAGCCAGCATAGGGCCCAGGTTTTCCTGCTCCTAAATCAAGTCCTCTCAGCCAGTGTGCTCTGTTTAAGAATCAGAGCTCCCTGCAGCTGAAAGCACAGGGGAACATCTTTGCCTTCCCTTAATTAGATTAAAAGATCCGTCATGAGATGGAAACCCAAAAGCCATAATCCATGGATGCCGCTGCATTTTAAACAGAAACTCAGAGCAAGCGGCTCAGATGGGGCCGAGCAGCTGGCGGCTGCTGACGGCACACACTGTCATTACCCAGAAAATCATTCTTCCCTCTTAGGAGAGTGAGGCCGAGGGGTCTTTGCAGCAGGTGGTGTGAGGTGGGCTGGACGCCTGGTAAGGCCCCCTCCAAGCGGGTGAGCCCCTTGAGAGATATACGCAGCCCACATCTCTTAACGTTCACTCTGACTTTGAAAGCAGGAGGAAGGGACGAACCTCTCAGCTCCAGACGTGGTGATTCAAATGCTTCAGCATGGAGCCTGAACATCTGGATTTCAAGGGCGTAATCACAAAACGTTTCTGAGGCAGCAGAAAACCACCACACTGTGTCCTTGAATCCGCACAACGTCTCTGAGGGGTTGAGATTTTTAAACCTATTTTATTGATGAGGTTACTGAGGCTCAGAGAGGTTAAGAAAATTTGCTCGAGGCTGTGTAATTAGTATATCAGGAGTCATTCTACTCTGAGGAGGAGAAATCTCAAAATTTAAAGATGGCTTACGTAAGATGGTAGTTTATTTCTCTCTCACAGAATCGAAAACCTCAGTTAATGGGTTCAGGACCCAGGCTCCTTCTGGCTTGTTGCTCTGCCATCTCAACATGAGGCTTTCTCCTCGTGGTTCAAAATGGGTGCTCCAGCTCCAGTCATCATGCCCACCTTCTAGCTTCCAGAAAGAAGAAAAAAGAAGATACTTCCTAGAAGTTTTAGACACCGGTGCCTTTTGCATCTCATTGGCCATAACTTACTCACGTGCCCACATCCAGCTCCAAGGGAGATTGGGAAATATAGTCTTTGTTTCCAATTTCAAAATCAAAAACAGGAATTTAAATGACCCAGTGGCTCGTGTTTTATATTATCTTAATAACATGCAAGGAGACAGGTGCTATTATTATTGCCGAGTTGCTGATGAAGAAACTGAGACTCGGAAGCATTAAGCAGCTGGCTCGAATCAGATGCCTGCTCCACGGCAGAGGGAGGATCTGAAGCCAGGTGGGCTGACTCTGAGTGCTGTGATTTCCTCTTCCCTGCACATGCTGCAGCTCCAGCAGAAGCAGGAAGGGAGAATCCTCCGTTCAACAAGGCTTCCCTGTGGGAAGGATGCCTCCCATTATGCATTTGGGGAGAACATCCCAGCTTCCCCATCACTCAGGCTCAGGGAGTAGAAGGCTCCCTGTAACGTGACCCAACCCCCATCAATGACTGGGGAAACAGCACACTGCTGGGACACAGACCTGGCTGCTGGTGATGGAGGGGCACTCTGGCTTTCTCAGCCCAAGCTCTTTTTTCATCCGATGTGATCTAAAGTGGCCGCCCCATATCGTCTGTGATGGA